CGCAAGAACAAATCAAGAACAAATCAAGAACAAAGCAAGAACAAATCAAGAACAAATCAAGAACAAATCAAGAACAATGAAAGAACAAATCAAGAACAAATCAAGAACAAATCAAGAACAAATCAAGAACAATGAAAGAACAAATAAAGAACAAATCAAGAACAAATCAAGAACAAATCAAGAACAAATCAAGAACAAATCAAAAACAATGCAAGAACAAATCAAGAACAATGCAAGAACAAATCAAGAACAATGAAAGAACAATGGAAGAACAATGGAAGAACAACGCAAGAACAAATCAAGAACAAATCAAGAACAACGCAAGAACAAATCAAGAACAAATCAAGAACAACGCAAGAACAAATCAAGAACTAATCAAGAACAACCCAAGAACAAATCAAAAACAATGCAAGAACAAATCAAGAACAACGCAAGAAAAAATCAAGAACAACGCAAGAACAAATCAAGAACAACGCAAGAACAAATCAAGAACTAATCAAGAACAACCCAAGAACAACGCAAGAACAAATCAAAAACAATGCAAGAACAAATCAAGAACAAATCAAGAACAACGCAAGAACAAATCAAGAACAACGCAAGAACAAATCAAGAACAACGCAAGAACAAATCAAAAACAAATCAAGAACAAATCAAGAACAACGCAAGAACAAATCAAGAACAAATCAAGAACAAATCAAGAACAACGCAAGAACAAATCAAGAACTAATCAAGAACAACCCAAGAACAACGCAAGAACAAATCAAGAACAACGCAAGAACAAATCAAGAACAAATCAAGAACAACGCAAGAACAAATCAAGAACTAATCAAGAACAACCCAAGAACAAATCAAGAACAAATCAAGAACAAATCAAGAACAATGAAAGAACAAATCAAGAACAAATCAAGAACAAATCAAGAACAATGAAAGAACAAATAAAGAACAAATCAAGAACAAATCAAGAACAAATCAAGAACAAATCAAGAACAAATCAAGAACAAATCAAAAACAATGCAAGAACAAATCAAGAACAATGCAAGAACAAATCAAGAACAATGAAAGAACAATGGAAGAACAATGGAAGAACAACGCAAGAACAAATCAAGAACAAATCAAGAACAACGCAAGAACAAATCAAGAACAAATCAAGAACAACGCAAGAACAAATCAAGAACTAATCAAGAACAACCCAAGAACAAATCAAAAACAATGCAAGAACAAATCAAGAACAACGCAAGAAAAAATCAAGAACAACGCAAGAACAAATCAAGACCAACGCAAGAACAAATCAAGAACTAATCAAGAACAACCCAAGAACAACGCAAGAACAAATCAAAAACAATGCAAGAACAAATCAAGAACAAATCAAGAACAAATCAAGAACAACGCAAGAACAAATCAAGAACAACGCAAGAACAAATCAAGAACAAATCAAGAACAAATCAAGAACAACGCAAGAACAAATCAAGAACAAATCAGGAACAAATCAAGAACAAATCAAGAACAAATCAAGAACAAATCAAGAACAAAGCAAAAACAACTCAAGAACAACGTAAGAACAAATATTAGGCAAATATAAGGCATATTAAGCAGCCGAAGAAATGTAACCAAACAAGTACAGCAGCACAAAAAATGGAGGAACAAGCAAAGTGCAGTTTAAGAACAAGTAATGTATCTAAATAGGGAGAGAAGGGAAAGTCTGTTGGTGAGTAATTGATTATAAAAACAGAATTAAACGGAACCAAATCTAAGGTTGTTGAGAGTGTTCCTTGTCACGGGATTGTTGTTATGCCTTTTTAGGACAAAGTTCGACAAGTATCAAGTAATTTTCTGCATTTGAAACTATTTCCTTACCATCTTTTTAAAAGCTCAGAGTAGTAACGTTGTTTTTCAAGGTATAAGATGCATTCATATACAAACAGATGATACCATAACAGACTGCTATCAGAATAAACTGCTTTAAAAAAATGCATTGAGGATAATTAACTAAAACAGCGCAAAACCTGAAGACAGAAATGCTTGTAATTGCAAAATGTAATATGATTGGCATACCTGCAAACGGTGGACCAGCAAGGAGGGCCAAGCATTGGCAGATAATGTATGCACTGTATCCTCTATTGAATTGTTTAATTGTTATCAGGTCTCTGATGACAAGCATAGTAGACACCGCAATACTGCCGTCAGCAATACCATAAAGACAGGAATATGCAGCAAGGCCAACAAAGGAGGTTAGGATTGGAACAAGTGTTGTCACTATGCCTATAACGATGGCGGCCCATTTGCTGAGTGAGAGCTTGTTGTATTTCGGGAGAGATGCAAGCTTGCCGAAGCCTACCTTACCAACAGCTTGCGCCAAAGAGATGATGCCTGGTAGAAATATCGCCATTGAGTATGAGATCCCTGTATCCATCGCTAGGCGTACCTATGATAGACAAGGCATTGTTTTGAATTTGATGCTCTTTACAAAGAAGGCAATGTACAAGAAAACGTATTTTAGAAAGAAAAGAACAACATGCTACCAATATTGTTTGTGAGAGTAATTCCAGGGCAATCTGATATTGCTCAGAAATATCAAAGATAGAAAAGGAAATGTTGAAATATACTAATATGGTATAAAAAATGAGGCAAATTAGTTTGGTTCTCACCAAGTGGACAAAGGGTGTGAAAACCCCAAAACTGATCAGCATGGAAGCAATAACATACATGATGTAAGCATAATTTCTTAGTAAAGGTATCTCCTCATTTCTACTCTTGGTCGTTATTTCTTTCTTTCTCTCCTTCTTGAACATTAATGGATTTGGCCCAAAACTCTCCTCAGGCCGCTTGAATAACACAGATACTGCTATTACAAACAGTGCGATCACGCTAGATAGCCGCATTCCACTGCTGAATCCATACTTTTGCAACATGAAACCGAGACCGGGAGCCTGAGCGAGGCCTCCGAGACTACTCCCGCACATCACTATTCCATGGGCCAGTGATAAGTTCTTTTTGAAATAGAGGGGCAAAATCAGCAACGGAGCAAAATAACACAAACTTTGTCCTATCGCAAACACAAGTCCAAGTGTGAAATAAGTTACAAATATACTGGATGCAAAAGAGGTCGCCATGAGAGAAAGGCCAATTAATGTTCCTCCAAGTAGTAGTGAGAGTCTATAGCCAACCAGGTCGAAGACTCTGAAAGTAATCGGCGTAAATAGGAACACCATTGATAATGACATGGAGCCGGTCCACGCTGCAAAAAAGTTCAATAATCATATCACAAAACTGCAGGATTATAGTTGATCTGGAGCTAATATTGAATTATTCAGAGTAGGAGTTTTTGTGACCAAAATGAAATCTAAGAACCAGGTGACTGACATGCTAACCTTGGGTAAATGTAAGAAAGGAAACATTTTGGACCAGTAAAGAGTTTGGTAGCCCCCTTTCAACACTTGAAAAAACGAAAAAATTTTACAACAAATATTGCAAACAATCTTTTAGTGGTACCTAACTTAAAGACTCATTGCTGACAATGGGCCTTTGCGAGCGTGGCGACGATCCAAACAATGGCAGTAAACTGTCTTCAATGGCATTAAATTGATTTCAGACTGTCTAAAAATGCACTATGGGGTGCTTGCGTAGCGCAATGGCTCATTGTTAGCAATGAGTCTTTAAAAATGGCTTTAAAAAAGCAAGCATTCGAGTAAACCAAAGCTTTTCGTCTGAAACTCTTAAGAGTTTAAATACCAACAACCAAACACTGCTACAGTGAAATCTTTATATGTCCTTTAGTCTAAGTTGTATCCATACTATCGATTTGTACATGATTTTAATAGGGTGATAAGCCCAAAGGTTCCTATTCTTAAGCATATGTGTCTCTGGTACTACCAAAGTTTGTGGCATAGAACATGCATGGATTTTTGCAAAAATAGTTTTAAGAATGCGTAAAAACCAATCCGATGAAAAAATTCTGCCATCTCAGTCATTTACTTTTTCACGTGGTCGAAACAAAATGTATTTGGCACAGATAGCAAAGATTTTTTAGCACAAGAGTCTCTATTTCTTCATTTATGACACATCAAATGGTCACACTGCTTTGTAATGTGAAGGAATTGTATTGTGCAATTTTTCAAATTTATTTTATTTTCTGCAAAAAATGCGTTTGTTATTCACAGCTACATTTCTTAAACCTATCTTTACAGAACCATTAAGAAGATCTGTACGCGTTATCTGGCACGAGAAAGTGAAGTAAGTAAGCCATTTGTGTGACGAGATTTTAGAAATTTCTTTGAAAAAAAGAACACGTCATACTGAAGTGTTTTTCGGCCTATATTTTTTTGAAGAAGAGGGCTCCAAACCATTTTTCATTTGTGGTGTGCTCAAGAGGGGGGGAGGGGTGAGGAAGAGGGCTCCAAACCATTCTTTATTTGTTGTGTGCTCAAAGAGGGGGGGGGGGGGAGGAAAAGGGCTTCAAACCATATTGGTTGTGTGCTCAAGAGGGGGAGGGGGGTCAGGAAGAGGGCTCCAAATCATTCTTTATTTGTTGTGTGCTCAAGATGGGGGGAGAGGTAAGGAAGAGGGCTTTAAAGAATTTTTTATTTGTTGTGTGCTCAAAAGGGAAGAGGGGGGTGGGTGAGGAAAAGGGCTCCAAACCATTTTTTATTTGTTGGCATATCTGAAAATTGCCGACGATGCTGGGTACCCGTTACGATTTTCAGTTTGTTTTGTTCTGTGGTAGTTTGAGTCGGCAGTCAGGGTTTTATGAATTTTATTGACCATCTGCACTAACCGATTACTGTGATTACTGTAAAATGAAAGTCACAGAATTTACAAACAGCTCAAAACTTCCAATTTCCTAAAAAGAATTGAAACGATAATTTGTTACTTTATTATAGCCTTCCCTATAGTAAGAGAAAATTTCTTAGTTTCCGTGACAAACTGCCGGTACTTCGTTTTCACACTTGCTTTGACATCAGGACATATAAAGGATCAAAATGAAATTGGGGGTCCCTCTTCAGAATGCCAGAAACAACTCCACTCAATTAAAAAAAAATAAAATATCTATAATCTTTGCACCAGTTAGAGAGAATGAGATAGCTAAATCTGCTAACAGATTAATGCAAAAATTGGATAACATTTAAACAGATTTTAAAATGTTCATTCAAGAAGCGCAATAAACTGAAACCCAAAAAAGCTACCGTACCAAGGTAAAATTGCTTGAAAGGGTGCATTTTTCAGCAAAATAGGGTCACTCATGTTCGAAAATCTGTTTACCCTTCTGCGACAACGATGGTGACGCCTCAGGAAGTAAGTAAACCAATACATTTTGTTATGATTAAGGGCGCCTAATTACCAATAAAGAATTGAGGAAAAAATTCTTATACATAGAAAAAAATGTATTTGTTCGACTCATTAATTGATTTTTTTGGTAGATTAAGAGGAAAAATTTTCAGCTTTCAATTGATTTTTCAAAACTCATAAAATTTTTTTTATCATTAAGTTTCTGGAAAAAAATGCTCAGACTTTCACGCTTGTTGAAGTTTTACAGCATTGTGTATTTGAAACCATCGCTTTTTATCAGTCCGACCGGCATTACAACGACATCCATGTGTACGGTTCAGATGCTGATTTCTGGGTCAATTTTTTCTGTCGCATTTTTTGTCGCATTTTGGGAAGTAAAATGCGCGTGTCTACTTCTTCGTGATTCGATGGTGCGATTAAAGCAATAAATTAAGAAACAAAACGTTGCACATTGATTCAGAGTACATACTCTAGTGTCTCTAATAGAAGGGGGAAGGTAATAGAAGGGGGGGGGGTGTTCATTCCGGCCAATTTTCAATAAAAGAGGGTGCTAATAGAACGAGGTGTTCATGTCGACCAGTTTTCAATAGAAGGGGGTGCTAATAGAAGGTGGCCTGTGTCCTGGAGCATAGGCTAATAGAAGGCGCTGTTCATGTCGGCAATCCTTCTTTGAAATCAAAGTACCTTTTAGAGTATACTGTCAAAATTTGGTTTCATATTTTTGCATAGTTTTAGAGAAAATTGCAATCATACAAAGATAAATCAAATTTACAGCTTTTAACTTCCAAGTCAAAAATCATCGGTTTCCTTTGTACGGTTGAGATTTTACAAAAAACTATGGAAAACAACGAATAATGAAAATCAAGTGACTTGATTTGTAAAATTTTAGAGAAGGGGGTGCTAATAAGCGACGGGGGGAGGGCAAATTCTTCTGAAATTAATACACGGGGGGCCGTCTATTAGAGACACTAGAGTACGTATGTTTTGAGACTTTTTAAAATGCCGCAAACTGTTAATATCATAGGAAACTTTCAAAAAAGACGTGAGGGAATAAAACTGGGATATTTTATGGACTTTGTTTGCTTTGTGTCATAATTTTGCAGAAAAACCCTAGTTCAATCGCTTACAAGTGACTATCTTCTTTTCAAGGGCACAGACCATGTTCAATGTTCTAATAATAGCTTTTAGAGGAGTTTTTCAGTTTGGGTCTGTTTTGCAGCCAATTCGACACCTCAAGCTACATAAGTTGTAAAGTTTTCATGATGGTATCATATTTTGCACGATTGATGCAAGATTTTGACTTAACAGGCCTAACTTCTTCTAGACCCCTCTTTTTTCTTCTTTATACAATCTCATTGCATCTATGAATGAGCAAAACAACTTTTCAATTACCAAAATGTCTTACAGCCGTGCTCTACCACAAGATAAACGCCTCAATGAGCTCATTTGCCCCTTTCTTTACCAGGGGTGGCGCTAGAAACCAAACCACGATGTGCCGACAATCTTAGAAAAAATTAAGGTGCCGACGACTATAAAATGGTTGCCGACATATTTCATGAACTTCCCTTTACACTTTCTTCAAATCTTTATTTTTTTTGAAAATGAATGAAAAAAACCCGTCAATCAAATCATGTTTACTTTCTTTAAAGAAAAAATTTCGTTGAAACGTTTCAAAAATTACACAAATCTGATATGCAATTTTTTTGATGTGCCTCGCTAGTAGGCCCTTGTACAGTTTGATGGCTAAGCAAATTTTGGTCATTTGTTGCTGGGTTTCTGCTTAAGACAGTATGATAAAGCTTTTTGGATATCTTTTTCAAAAAGGTCAAGGACAAAGTCAAGGTTTAGCATCCTGGCCCGCTTTGATGGAAAATCATGGAGATATCTTTTTCACAGTGAAAATGGCTACGCATTTGATAGTTATTGCAAGCCCTGGAATGAGACAGCAGAAGAGACTTTCCAACCGCAGAAGAGAAATCTTTTGCGACCATTCCCTTTAAAGACATTCCAGAATTTCTTGCTTTTCTTGGGCACGCTTTTGTTATGTTAGATTAATTATATTCTTAACAACTGAATACATTACTTTAAAAGGCTCTGTGGAACCTTGAAACCCTGCGGAAATTTTCCCCCTCTGCCCCCTTTCCGTCCTGGTTATTTGATGCCTCCCAGATTCCTAATTTCAGTTGGGCGACAGTTTTTGATAAAATCTTTTCTCATAAGAACAATTTTATAAGAATACGAGCCTCCAAATTGGTTAACTTTAATTGATTCAAATTGGTCAAGAGTTACGAACAAATTAAGAACAAGATGAGGCTGAAGCACTTTAAAATGTAATTCTGAACAAAGTTGTGGAACCTCCCACAAAATTTCCTCTCAAACGAGATATCTTTCCCATCTAGCGGTGCTTTGAAGCTGAATTTTCAAACTTTGTTTGCAAATGGGCCTGAACCCTCCTCTAACAATTGCACAACATTTAACAATTGCACTGCTTACACCCAGATTACTTAAGAACAATCCATCCACATAGTTTTTAAGGTTTTAATGGTTTTACTGATAGTCAAAAACATAGCCTGAATTTCAATTTAAAGGTTCTTATAAAAAAATTCCTCATTCGACAGTTTCAAAGTGCCGACCGTCCTTTTTCTTTTCTTATTTTGGGCTGCCGACAAGGTGTCATTGGGAACTTTTGGGGGGAGCAGCTGCCCCCCAAGACACCCGATAGCGCAATTACTGTTATTTTCCTGTTTTGACCCTTTCTTGGCGAAAAATGAATTTCTACCCTGAATCCTACCAAATCCTCCGGTCGGTACGTCCCTGCTATGATCTAAGCTTTTATATCCCTAAGCATACACTCGTTAAGAAGCTTTGAGAACTTGCAATGATAGATTTTTAATGTTTTAAATGAATTGGATTGAATTGGAACTGGCCAATCAGTAGGATTAGGTTAGGCTTTCTTTCAATTGAAGGCTGGGCATAACTATGCATGTCTCTGATTGTAGCACCATTTTATCCTTATTTTATCTAGACAAAAATAAACTTCTGTATTCTGGCCAATCAGGTTTTAGAGCTCTGCATTCCACTGTAACTTGCTTGCTTTCTGGCACTAATGACTGGCACATTAATATTGAGCGTGGAAAATTTACAGGAAATATTTTCATTGATTTGAAAAAGGCTTTTGATACTGTTGATCATGCCATACTTATTCAAAAGCTATCTAAGTACGGAATTCAGGGTCTTGAGCTTCAATGGTTCAAATCATATCTTAGCAGTAGGCAGCAATACACTAAGGTTAATGGAGTGCAATCTGACATCGGAAGCATCAACTGTGGTGTCCCACAAGGTTCTTGTTTAGGTCCACTACTCTTCCTAATCTATATAAATGATCGGCCATTCGCCTTGAAAAACTGCAAAGTTACGATGTACGCCGACGATACTAGCATATCCTATTCCTTTAAGAGCATTGAGGATCTAACTGAAACGCTCAACAACGAATTGAAATGTTTGAAAGAATGGCTTCAGGACAATATATTGTCTTTGAATGTAACCAAGACTCAGGCAATGGTAATCGGATCTAGACCAAATCTGAAAAAGATTGGTGAAAACACTGTGGGTTCACCTGCATTTGTTATCGATGATTCCCCTGTAAAACTCGTCGACAGTATTAAGTATCTTGGTGTCCAAGTTGACCAATACCTCGTGTGGGACGAGCAAATTAAATCTGTTCAAGCCAAAGTCTCCCGCTCGTTAGGTTTTTTAAAATATGCAAAGAAATTTTTGCCAAAAAATAAAAATGTACTTTGCAAATTATATAGAGGTATTGTAGAGCTACATTTTCGGTACTGCTGTACTGTGTGGGGGAGCTGTGCAGAGTTCCGACTGGTTAAGCTTCAAAAATTGCAGAATCGAGCCGCTAGAATTATTACAAATAGCAGCTACGATGCTCCTGCTGAAGCTTTGATTACAGAGTTAAAATGGCCAACTGTGAGGGATATGATCAGAAGTGAGACTGCAACAACTGTATATAAATCTGTTAATAGTCTCGCGCATGATCATCTCTCGCATTTATTTGTTAGAAATTCTGAACGCAATTGTATCAACCTTAGAAATGCCGAAACTGACTTGCTAGTGCCATTCATGAAAACTAGTAATGGACAGAAAGCGTTCCCATTTCGTGGATCAAAAATCTGGAATGATCTCAGCCGCGAGGCCAAGAACAGGATAAAGGGTTTTTTGTAAATTTATTGTAAATAGTTGTAAATAAATTATTTATGATTGTAATTAGTTTCCTTTTTTTGTTATTAATTTTAGTAGATTTTTTAATTTGTTAAGTTTTTGGCACGGCCCCCTGAAAATCAGTCATGACTGACGGGGCTACCGTGCATAAATAATTTTAAAATGAAAAAGATGAAATGAAAAAAAATTGGCTACTCGTAGTTTCTTGAGAAAATTCCCTTTTTTCAATTGTTCTGATCAATAAAGGGTATGATTTCTTCAAAATTGCAGGCTCAATCACTACTGATGGTAAAAATGAAACTTCTTATCCAGAGATTCACCTTGCCTGTTAAAAATATTTCAACTTAACTTCACCCCTGTCAAAAAGAAAACAAAACGGTGTAATGGTGCAATTTGAGATCCAGGGCTTCACATTAAAAAAACGACTGGAAGACGTGTCTGATCCAGAGTTCCAATTTTAATAAGGTCTAAGATTTCAACATTTAAAATCCCAAAATCCCTAAGCTATGAAATTCACATATTTGGTGATTAAAGTTAGGAAAAATTCAGTGAACTTTCATGTTTTCTAACTGTAACTGGGTTTCCCAACCTTTGGGGGGCGTCAGCCCCCCCCCACCCCTTATTATTTACCTGCCTGCTCTAAATATTACCCCCCCACCACAATTTTCGACTCTTCAATTTGGGCTCTTTGTGTACCAGCCCTTGCATGGCTATGACGGTGTTTGATTCGAGTGTAAAACCACAACGACAGCTTTTCTGATCAATCAAACAATGTACGGTTGTGCTATTGTTTGTGCTAATGTACGGTGAGTGGATTTGCTAAAAGTCTTTCTCTATCCATTTAGTAATCTGAAAAATCATAGAGACTCTCTCGTTCCCTCCCATTTTTTCCTTTTTCCCTTTCTTTATTTTTCAGAGGGAGAGATTTCAGATTACTAATGGATAGAAGAGAGACTTGTAGCAAGTCCAGAAAAGGAGGGAAAATGGTCGCGAACTACCAAAAAATTACATAACAAAAGTGTTTGACGGCCTCTTGATAGTGCACGTGCTAGCCCACACGAACTTCAGAGAGTTTGATTATAAACGCCCCAACGTGTTATTTATAAACAATTAATTCACATTTCCGCTTGTTACTGGGTTGTTACTAGGTTGTTCCGCTTGTTACTAGGTTGTTCCGCTTGTTCCTCGTTTTAGCAACGTCGTCCCCAAGTTACCTGTGGGGACCTTTCTGGCAAAATGTTCGAAAAGACACCGATATACTACTTCCGCCCCCTTCCTCCTAGAACAATAATGTTGATAATTTAGAGAAGTATCATAAAAGAAGCGCAAAAGAAAGTGCTTCCTAAAATCCTAACCCGTTACGTAGTAAACCAACATTGTTCCGTGGGGGAGAAGGGGATGATTGATTTTGACCTTGGAAACTGAAACTTGTCAGTGTTCTAAAACTTTCGGCAGGGATTGTGGGCCTAAAGGACGCGCAGGTGTACCGCACATGCTGTACACCGCAAATGTGTACATCCGAAATACACTGGGCTTTGTCAAATTTTTTTACTTTTCATAGCTATTTTGGTTAGTTTTTCATCTACTCATCAGAAGACATGAATGGATAATGGCTTTTTGAGGGTTTTAATCGGTTCAGTTACATATGACCTGCTTCCGCCATTTCGTGATATGCCAATTATATTTTTTGGTGCACACGCAGAAAAATTTTAATGACTGTAAATGAATGTAACAAAACTCTTCAGATTTCGGTAATGAAATTACATTGGAACTAAGTTATGAATAAGGATGTATCAATTTAGCATTACCTTGAAATTTACAGGTGAATTGAAAATATTTTCTCGTACCTATCAACGCGTTGCTTTCTGTAAATTTTTCCTGCATCGACACGTAAATGGATCCGAACCCGCGGTAAAATCCAAACGCTGTAAACTGGACTAGAAATGCCGAGGCACACAGAATGTACTGAAAGAGAACTTGCTTTCTGCTTTTTGTCCGCTCTTCATCGTTGCCAGCCATTTTCTCGACGAGAAAAAGATTGTTGATACTGGATATGAGAAGCCGTCACAGACCTAAGGTCTGCGATAGACCATGCACGTGACATAGCAGGTACCAGACGGTGAGCTTCGCAAACAATTGAATAACCTTTTATCTCAGACAATAGGTGTTACGGGCCAATCGCTCTCTTCTTGCACCAGTCTTGCAGTTTCAATAGAAAACCAATTTTCAGCGGTAATGACGCTGGTTTTGTTTGACCAAGCTTACGAATTATTGCAATAAATTTGTTACGTAGTTACAGGTTATACGTGTATATTTTTTCCTAGGAATACAAACGTTGCTATGTCAACTATTTTTTGTTTATAGCTAATCTCGAAACAGTTTTCAATGATATGTAAATAATTTCATGCATGCTTTCTTGACCGTTCTCGACGTTACCGCATGGTAAGGCCCTAATCTTCAGTTGTCAGATGTTGCATCTTTCTGATCACATGATTTAGTTACGTAAAAGTTACGTAACAAAGCTCGTTTAAAAATAGTCTAGGCTCTAAACACAGTATTTGACTTGAATTGTGGAAATTGTGATACCAGCATGAAAATGGGTACACGGGGGTAATCTCACACGCTGATGACGATGCCGAACAGACACAAACCGAAAAATGCTCCCAAGTGCTATTTTTAGACTGGGGTACTTGACCCCAGTCCCCCATTTTGGATTTCATCTATACGTAGTTAACTAAAGTTTAAATTGAGCATGAAGGTTTAGGTTTAAACACAGTTCTACACGATAAAAGTATAACAAAGAAACAATTAAAATATTGCCGTTGATGCTATATTTAGAATGGACCACTGGAGCCCAGGCCTCTATAAGCTTTCTTTTATAAATCATTACTATTTTTTGTATGAATACGAAATAAAATGAATATTTAATCTGTTGATTGCTACTACTCCTCTCAGAGGCCTTCAAGAAAAGCATAGAAGTTTGGAAAACACTACCTATTGAAGTTTGAAGAACACAAGAGGCTAGAAGAATCAGTGCAATTCTATTATTGGTTTACTGTTAGAGTCAATAAATTTCCACATGTTTCTAAGTGCCCTTCATTAGATTGCACCTTGGATGTTTAGCTTTTGTCATACAAACTACTCACGCTGGCTGCCAATATAACATCAATCGTATTTGAAAGTAGCCTATAATTATAACGATTTTCGCCCCTCTGAATATGATCGAGTTTGAAAGTTCAGTAAGGATACTTAACATTTCAGCTACTTTGGATAGTCAGCATTTTATACAAATTGTATGAGATTTTCAGAAGTAGCGAAATGTGAAAGTCACATTTTCCTGTACATGTGATAAATTGCATTGACCTTCAGAGGCAGGAAACGCGTACATATTTAAACATATCGCTTTATGCATATATTAACTGCGTTTTTCATAATATTTTCCGGTGATTGAAAAGTTGTATGAAGCTACACTTTAGTATTCACATCAAAATAAGCGATATTTAACAATAGATGAAAAAGTCGAATGAGCTTGGATCTAAGTATCACATTCAGAAAAGAGAAACTAGGCGTAATTTTATCTCTCCGTTATATTTTAGTGTATCACAAAGTATAGAATGCTAGACTTTTTATGTTAAAGCAGTGATGACTAATAACTTACAGTAGAAACAAGTCTAATCAGTGAGTCTATCATTTGTAGCATCTAGAGGTAATATTCTACTTTTTTCTAAAAATACTGTTTGGTTAACCAAGAAGGTAGAAAGCCATACTATCATGTTTACGTCAAAAGCAAGTAATGGCTTGTAAAAGAGTGATTACATAGAGGCCTAGAGGCAACAGCCCTAATCTTAAAATAGAATGAAAGGATAATATTGTTTCTGTGTTATACTTTTATCGTGTAGAATTGTGTTTGAGCCTATACCTTCATGTTCAGTTTTAACTACAGTTAACTTCGTATAGATGAAATCCAAAATGGAGGATGGGGTCAAGTACCCCAGTCTAAAAATAGCACTTGGGGGGATTTTCCAGCTTGTGTCTGATCGGCATCATTATCAACGTATCAAATTGCCCCAGTGTACCCATTTTCATGCTGATACCACAACGTGCACAATTCATGTCAAATACTGTGCTTAGAGCCTAGACTATGAAGGTAAAACCCAAATTCGAGAACTGGGCTCCAGTACCCCATTCTAAAAATAGCATTAAGTGGTAAGATTGTCAATTACATCTTTTTGCATTACTTTTCAGTTTGTTGAAAAAATAGAGAAAGCTACATTTCATATTCATATAAAAGAGAGTAATTATTTAGAGAAGAATGCCTAAATAGAGACATGGGTACCAACTCATATTCTAAAAATAGCATAAAGGGGCAATCTTTCGTTTCCATTTCTCTTAGTATATTTTGATAAATGATAATGCACCTAAATCTTTTCTTTCCCACTTTTTTCATAAATCAGTAATGACATATGGAGATTGGCCCAATTCGACGACTGGGGTCAAGTACCCCAGTCTAAAAATAGCACTTGGGGCATTTTTCGGCTTGTGTCCGTTCGGCATCGTCATCAGCGTGTGAAATTACCCCAGTGTACCCATTTTCATGCTGGTATCACAATTTGCACGATTCATGTTCTAACAGCCCAGACTAAAAGTGATACTAGTTTCTGAAACTTTGGAGGGTGAGCAGGGGCAGATCCAGAGCAAATTTGAAGGAGGGGCAGTTGGTAGTGGGAGCGCTGAAAATTTTTCAAAAATTGGTGACGAGAGTACGCTGTACACAACAATTTGAGATCCATTTTTGGAAAAAACAACGAGGTAATCCTTGAAGCAAGTTAACTTATTGTTCTCAGAAACTTTTTCACCAGACTCTTATTCTTCAAAAGGGGCACACAACTTCCAAAAAAGGGGTGCCAGATTTGCTTCAACTCGTCAAGGGAGGGACAACTGCCCCTAGCTGTCCTCCTGAAATCCGCCACTGGGGGGGGGACTTCTTCATATTTAGGGAAGGGGTGATTAGATCTGTGTTTTATATATTATAAGTCCAAAATAAATAGTCGTTTTTCTGTACCCTTTCTTCCCCCAAAAAGCTGTCCGATTCGGCAACTCTTGCTGTCTTTTTTTGTCTGTTTAATTAATAAACTTCCATTATTTTGGTACTCTAGAATTGAAGACTAAAGAGAAAAATTCCAACACTGCACGAGACAAAAAATATTTTAATTAGTGCGGTACCAAAAAAGTGGTATTTTTACAAAGGTTATAAAAATTAAAAATGCCCTGCGCACCCCAATTTAAATGAACAAGGGTATCGCTCGATTCAAAGAACCCAAAAGAATATTTGACTTAGTGAAGTACCAAAAACATTGTTTTTTACAAAAGTTCAAACTCAAAAAATTCCATTTTCTGAACATCCCTATCGTAAATGTACAGGAGTATCCAACCGCTGGCTTTAAAATTTGTAATGAGGCCAGTGGTGGCGCCAGGGGAGGGCTAGCGGGGGGCTACAGCCCCTCCGTCGGAAGCATCTAGCACTCCTATAGGAGGAAATTTTGGGTTATTGTCGGAGCAAATTTGACAAAGCAACATACAAAAAATGCATATTTTAGTCATTTTAGCCCTCTTGTCGGAAGCTCAAACCCCTCTGTCGGAAGATTTCTGGCGCCACCTTTGAATGGGGCAACACCGAAAGGGCTTACTAGACCTCGATGAACATAAAAAATATCTGAGCCCATCCTTTGCTTCGACAGCTAGTGTTTCCCAGCTAGTATTAAACCTATTTATAGTTTCAGTTGAATAAAGCTGAAATGAGAAAAACAAACTATAATGCACTTCAGGCAAAGATCAAACACTGAAACAAATTTGCTTTTCTATGATATAGCCCCAAAATAACGCAAATAGGAAATAAACAAATTTTTGTAAAAAACTAAGGTCGATTTACATCTTTTTTTTGCAAAGTGTATGATTTTATCTTAAAGGAACCTCTCCTACTTTCCTTTCTATTTAACATGCTGTTTCGCTTTGGGTATGCCATCCCCTCTGGTTATCCTCATTTCAACCTCCTGAAACGGTTTATCGCGCCCAGTCCCGTTCACACGATATGGAATGAATCCGGTATAATGTGAGCAGGGCTTTATCTGCAAAGTAACCAATATTTCAATCTAAGCTTTTTCAGGGTAGACAACAACATAACTGCCATTTTCACCTTACTTTCTTCAGAATGTGCATCTTTCCTACTTGTACCGATGCCTTCATTTTTACAAATTTAATATGCTAACAATGCTATCACCCCTTTTTTTCTTCAAAATTTGCAACATTCTAAGGTGTGTAATAAGTTTGGAAAGTAGGATCTTTTCGCAGGGCAAAACTGCATTGTGCAGGGGAAATGTTTTCTACAAACGGATTTGTTTTCTTGTTTTTCTTATGTAACTGTAACAAGAAAGTAGGTTATGCTTGTCATTTGTCTACTCCAAAAGTAAAATGGATACAGACTACCAGTGACACGAAGTAGATATTGTCAGCGTGATCTTGGGCTGGATGGATTAGAATAAATTGGTTCGGATTTCCTTTCAAGTGTTTGGGTTGATTTTTGTGTCTTGTGATAAAACTTTCATATACTACTAAAAACCATATACTAGAAAGACAAGCACCGCTTGCTAGAAAACAAAATAACTGTAAATGGGGCTTTTTGGATCAAAATTTGATGGAATAGATTTGATGGAATATCTTTGGGCCTAAACTCTCTTGACTGTAACCAGAAACGTGAATTGAGAAGGGAGTCGACTATATACGGTTTTTATATCTAATTTTTGTGGATGATATACATATAGGGTGTATTGTATATATTCCTGTAGGTTTTCAAGCTTGTGTTTGCCAGATGAAGATTATGTCATCAATAAATCTTTTCCAAAATATTCGACTACGCCCCATCGGGGCATTGCTCAAGATATGTTGTCATGAATATGTTGTCATAATTTGGGGCAAAGGTTTGCGGTGCCTTAAGGGGGGTTAATAAAATTTACGTTTACACTCTTCTTTATAAGAGCCAGTAAATTGATGTTCAGGCTAGTTGTTCTTAATTTTTTTGAAAATCTGTGGCCGAATTGTTCTTAATTTGTTCTTAAATTTATATGAAATATCTGTTTGAGCAGCGCGATTACTAGCTTTTCACTCTAGGGAGGTGTCCAGGCCTTATTTTTTAACATAGTGCGTGAGAAAACCTTCATTTGCCGCCATGTTTGAACATTCACCAAAAAAGCACCAAAAGATGGTAAAAAACTCCTGGTTTTTGAGTACATTTTTCAAAGTTACTTTTTATAGTAGCTCAGCCTCAGCTTGCTCTTAATTTGTTCTCAACTTTTGATCAATTTTGAAGCTCGTGTTCTTACAAAATTGCTCTTACAAAAAGAGAGTGTAAAGGCAATATAACTATATGTTTGAGAATAAAAATCACCATCTGTTGTATCTTAATGCAGCAGGGTAGTTTCCCCATAATGATTTTTGATGGCACAGAGGGAATCTTTGATACCCTCATCTTGTGAAATGCTAGTGTGTATATCGAAAGTGTGTTGTACAAAATGAGCTCATGCTCTTTGAATCCAGGATGGGGTGGGGGTGGAGGTTGCATCACTCATTGAAAAACTTTATCTTGCTCGCTTCCCCAAGGTTAGGCAAACACATCGGTGAGCTTGTGGATACACTGAGCAAGGACCTTTGCGGGAACAACTTACCTTATGAAGTATTTAAGTGTTTTGAGAAGTGAGGGCCAGTTCCCAACATTTCCAAATTTTGCCAGGGCAAAATTTTTTCTGAACAATAATATGCAGACAACCCCCAACAAAAAGTATGAAGTGACGACCCTGTCTAGGGCCACTTAGCCGTTAGGGGCCCCAAATTGTCAGAGAGAGATTATTTTATTATTCTCTAGAAAATGGCCTTACTTGTGTAATTATCTGATCTCCAAACAGGGCCGCCGAAAACGACGCTGGATCGCGGGGCAGGCGCAATGTTTGGGTCATTTTCTAACTGTTTGGGTCAAGTCTTTTCCAAACCAAAGAAATACACTAGGGTATCAAAAGTATTGCACCACCTCGAAGGAGGAGAAATGGCGCATGAATGATCGAAAGCTATTGTTATGCAAATTAATTCCGTTTTTAAAGGGCCAATGGCAATTGGTCGAAAGCAAAACAACCACCAATCAAAACTTCAATCTATTTAGAGCAATTATTTGAAAAATAACAGTAGCAAACGTCCTTTAACAGTTTCAAATTTCAATATTTTGATGGGTAGCCGCAAACTTTTGAAACCGCAAAAAGCCTCCTTGAAATGGATCCACATTTTTGGTCAACGTATTCTTGTGGAATTTCGCAATAGGCCTGGAAAATTCTTACAATTAATGATTATCTGGCTTTTGGACGACCATTTGGATGACAGTTTGTAACATTTTTCATTTGAAGTCAAACTTTTTTAGCGATGTTAAAGATTGGACTTGATTCTGGCTATGCCAAAACTTTAATTTCTTTTGTATGGAAATAAATATTTGTAAAAATGGTTTCCGTTTACTCAGGTAACTTTTTCTTTTGTATTTGTGCAAAACACTCATTATATTTTCTGTGGACGGATTTTAAGCTGCAAAACCTTGCCCAGTTTCGAGTTTCATGTCTTCTACTGCCCTTAGGTGCACACGCAGTGAAATAAAACCGACAAATTCATTCCCCTCTAACATCAATTTATTTTTGGTCGCCCACTTCTCTGTTTCTTTACTACTGTAACACTCTCGAGAAATCTTTTTTAGTTTCCCACAGCTGTTGTGTGACGGCATCCATCTTGGTCAACATTTTTTCGAAAACTGAAGACCACTTCCCTGTAAATATTTTATAGCGACTCGCCCCTCATTTGACAATTTTGCTTCCTTAGGCATGGTCTACATTTTTACAAACAAAAATGTCTTTGCGTAATTTATACATTTCTAACTAAGTTTTCTATGGCGTCAGCAAGATTGGAAAACTTTTCCCGCCAAAGTTTGCTCTAAAATGCGCTTACTTCACCCAATTAATGCATTCAAATGTTTTGCATGGTCAAAAAGTCGACAAAAAGTGCCGCCATTTTTAGCAGGGTGGTGCAATACTTTTGATACCCTAGTGTAGAAAAAAACGCGTTCAAATGAAACAAAATTTTTTATCGACCAATTTACACAATTTGATGGTGATTAAGAAAATCTTGGTTAAATTTTCGAAAAATACGTGAGAGACACCAAAATTTCAACTTTAAAACTCTGTACTTCAATTTGTCCCAGCTCTTCATGTCTATTCTATCAGATTCGTTTAGATGGTGTTGAGGGAATAAATGTGCATAAAAAGTATGTAAAAGCCAAAACTGTTTCGAAAATCAGTGACAGCCAAGTGTCACAATGGCATCGAAAGAGTGTCGATAAAAATTTGGAAAATTTTGAAAGGTATTTACGGTTTAATGCCATTTTGAAAACAATCCCTTGCCAGTAGCTACTAAAATGCTTAGGTATCATAGCAACATGCAAACAATCACGCCAGATTTTACGTCAAATTAATCAAGGGTATAAAAAAGCAAAAAAAACCGTTACAATTTCTGTTGAGAACTTTTCAACTTGAAGACACGACGCAAGTTTGCATCCATGGTATTTGTACAACTCTAACGATTCAAAACATTGCGATTTTCGATAATTGCTAAAATTTTTTCGATTCAAAGATCAACGGCCACATCCATCATTCGAAATCAGTCGAAACTACGCCGTTACGATGAAATCACAGACAAGAACAATGGTAAGTCGATTTTTCGAAGCTAGCCCTCGAATATTTTCTAAAAAGTTGTTGAAGAGCACTTTTTTATAAAATTGAAAGTGTCAGTGCTTTGAATTAAAACTTTTCTAGAACATTTTGATGCTTGCAACATCTTTTGAAGAGGTTTTCATCAAAACAACTTGATATAAATAGTAGCATTTTTGTCATCATTTACTGAATGAAACTTTCGGAAGCAGATAATCATAAGACGCTTTCAAGTAATTGAGAATAGGCTTTCTCTCAAAAAACTTGTCTAAAGGCCAATAAATATCATTATATATGACCTTTTTGTATTTCAAAGCGTATGTTATAACTAATTGGGCCTAAGTTGTAACAGTAATGCTGCTCGGAAATACCACTGTTGCTAAGAAGCAGTTTCCATGACGAACGTGAAGTAGAGGCTGTGCCTCGGTTAGCCTGCCATAATGATTTTATTCTATAACGATATGTCGGTTTTAGAAATTGTTTGGCAGCCTTCACGTAAATCATTGGTCGAGTTGTGAGCTCACTAACTGAAAACCTATGTCTCAAGCCATACAAAGTATCATTTTCGTTAAACAAAGTAACCTTTTCAGAATAAAATTCGATAACCTTTTCACATGTTGCTATCTTCTTTACAGGAGGCTCCGTCACATCTGTTCCATGATGAAATTTCAAAACATCTCGTTACAAAATACGAATTTTTGCTGAAGAATATCAGTGAGCAATTTGATTTATATTTTCATTGAAATGTCTGCAATGTTTGCTAGTTTTTAAACATCTCTCTATTGAAACTTTATATTATCACACTCTTTATATATCTTTCATTGATGTTTCACTACATGCTGCTAACAATAGCATTGTTATGCCGATTAGATTCTGATTTGATGATAACAAAGTAAAAGAGTCTCACATTAAAGTACATTCTTTACATTTCTACATCTGCAATGTTCTCCATCCCAAACATTGATAAATTCACATGTGCTTATAAAGTTGACACCCTCTTGCTAATGGCTTGTCTGCTTAAAATGCGACTTAAACTTTTATAATGCGTTTTGCAGATGCCCTCTTCTCGATCATCAAGCACATGACGGACATCGAATCTCCAAGAAAAAGAATTCTTAAAAAGCTTCTTGACGCTGAGTACCGACAATTTTCCTTCACGCAGGTAAAACTTGCTTTCACATTCTTTCAAGGACGAAAGTTCGCTTTGACACAACAAACGATTATTTATTTTTCCACATTCCTAGTTGCAAACACAAAACTAGAAGAAAACGAGAAGACCCAATCTTCATTGTAAAGTAAATCGTTACATCTCTACACATGGATTTTTAGAAACAAGTAGAAAATTCATCATAAGGCGTTTATTAAAATAATGAATACGTAAGGGGGTGGGCTTACTCGAAATTTCCACACCACTTCGTATTTCTTATTTTGGCTTTAATTTCTTGCATATCAATTTGTAGATAAAAACCCAAGCAAAGGCCTGTCTCAGTGTCCTTGAGGATCTTCATTTGATGGTGAGTTTAGGTTCTTTTTCAAGTTTAATGTCAATGAAAAGCAGGGTATATTTTAAGCATGGTGTAGTGATAACCAACTTGTATGGTGCTAATCGTAATTGTTCAGTGATAAACTGGAATTTTGTGCAGTGATAAAACTAAAACAAAGAGATTTGGTATTGAAAAAGTAAGTTGGAGAAACTACTATATCCAATAGATTCACAAAGTTAAAAAAAGAGCATGAAAATAATGAAAATGAGAACATAAGAGCAACAATGATCATAATTTAAGAAATCTTTCTAAAATTTGATCAAAATCATTCTATAGTTTGTTTTTTTCATCATCTTCTCTTTTGAGAACTATATTCTCAAAATCATGTTTAAACCATGCTTCTCCTCGTCGTAATCACTCGTAAGGCTTTGATGTGAGTTGGCATAATTCAAAAGTTTCACTATATGCAGTAATTTTGATAGGTGTGGTCATGAAAATTTTCAAAAGGCAAAACCCAAATCTTTCAAAAATTTTGAATATGTGCAATGTTAAAAAATATTCCAATGCAATTTGACTTGCAATGACCCTGACTTGTAATGCAATTTGAAATAAAACCAGTAGGTCAATGATGGCAAAACGAAAGATGTTGATTTGCTGTCATCATGATATATAACTTTATTAATTTCTTTTCATTTCAGGCTGTAGAGAGAATTAACTGCCAATTCATGAAGACATTTGCCAAGTTAATTCGAAACATCGTCACATCCTGGGACACATTCTTTTTCAGCATTGCTGTTATTGACAAGGTTAGCTGACGGATTATTTAAAAAAGGCTTTGATTCGATTGAAGTGTCAGTTTTCTGATTCAATGACAGAAGCATTAGTTTATGCAAATGTTCACCTAGAAATGTCAGATCTTGATTCAGAAGTCATTTTCCAATAAAAAGTGCTTGTGAAAATATGACTGCATATCTTGGGCGTGGTGGGAATTTTTATGGTCCTAGAAAATCAAGTTTTTAGGGGCAAACCATTTTGATGATGATTGTTTCTTGTTTTCATTACTTATTACATGTTATAAAGCGGTGGAGGTGAGACAACGTTTGGCCTTACTTTACTTGTTTTTCTCGCAAATCTGATGTTTCAAATGATCAAAGCTTAAAAGGAAGTAAAATCCAAGGGGCCAACATGAAGTTTCTTAAGGGACCTACTGGGACATTTCCCAAGTCCCTGTTGGTCTCCATGCTCCTGCTGCATTTGTATCTGTGCATCCTTCTATATCAAATGTGAAAAAAATCATTTCTTTTTAATAGAGCCCGGGGAAAGCCTGCCGATCAGAAAGCATCAAGCTTTTCTACATGCTAGCGAAATTCGATATGACAGAGCTCGCTAAGAACATAGAAAAGCAGAAGAAGCAGATGGAGTTAGCGCTTTCAGACCCTCAGATGAATGGTTCTTGGAAAGGTGCCCAGCTAGCTGGAAACAGCTTCAAACTGAAAAACTTGAAATTTGAAGAACTCTCATTCACAGAATCTAATGACATCCCTGGCAATGAAAGGGAACATTTAGAGACTGTAGAAGGGATTCTTGATGATAGTTTCGAATACGTCCCTAAACAAACAAGTGACCCTAAGTACTATCATCCTAAGAAACGCAGCTCTTATGTGGCTAATGATGCGACATTAAATGAAGAGCAATGTGTTGTTGAAAATTTGGTGGAAGCGCCAAAGGGGTCGCATGCACCTGACCAAGTGAACAGTGTAAAACTTCAGGCTGCCTTGAATAGCATCAATGCTGCTACGGCAGAAATGCCACTGCAGCGCAACTTTACTTCTAACATGTTACTTGACAGCTCTTTTGGGGAGAATAAAGTTTTAATTGAAGCTGATAGGCCACTTCTTAACCTCGATAATGCCTGTCTTTCTCTGAGCCCCACGGTCATCTTAAAAAGAGCTTCTGGTAGTTTAGAAAATCCTTTTGATAAGAGTTCTTCAGTCGACGTAACTCTCAGTCGGGGATTGAAAAGAAAACGAAACGAGCCGCTGGGTGACGTTACAAACGACTTGAATTCTCTAAAAAGTGCTTCTTATGTTGGAAATATCGACTGTTATAACCAGACTTTGAAGAAGATTAAACTGAGTAGGGAGGTAGAAAATGCCTTCGTTTACCCAAATGCAGTCAAAAATAACTCTGTTGAGGAAAAAAGGTTTAAAGGTCTGAAAAGGCTAGGAAGACGGTTGAAAACAATGAAATTACAACTCATTAAAGGATTAAGGGATAGTAAAAGAAATAATACAGTGTTTCCAATTTAAAACAGTTGAAAAACTTTAGATAACAAAATTATTATATTAAATTGTCAGTAATGAATATAGAATGAGTGTATTTATGATCAATAAACGACTTATATTGTTAAATAGATGTGATGTTTCTAATGAGAAGTTGATGTATTGAAAAATCTGCTGTTATTTCTTGTTCAATATCTGAGGCGATCGTTATCCACCTTTAGCTTGCTGGTTACAGATACCAATCGTTCTTGGGCTGACACTTGAAGTATCAATTCAGGTTGATATAACATTAGAGTTTGTCAGTATCGAAAGCCAGTAACAAATTCATATACATATTCAAAGAAAACTTATGTTAACTTTCAATATTTAAAACTGAACGATCACATTTATATAGCATAGGGTCTTTGGCAAACAAATGGTGCTAATTCTGTGCTTGTCTGTAAATAATAAGATCTAAATCTTTGTTTTAGACTATTATATGAATAAAACTAAAAGAGATAATAACAATTCAATTTTTTGGTTGTTTTTGAGCTTCTAAATTTTCTATGAAAAATTACCGTCAATATTAATTAGGAGAAAAGACACTATCTTTAATAATACCGTAAATCCTTGAATCGCCCCACCCACTTGAACAAGGCCTCACCATAGAACTAAAAATTGTCAATAAGTCCCTCCCCTCGAATAAGCGTCCATTGCTATCTTAAATTCTGGGGTTGCCTTTGGCGTTTTACCGAATTACCACGAAAGTTAATACTTTTGGTGATAATTAATTAAATGCTCATAAAGTAATTCCTACAAAAATAAATGAGGTCTTTAAATCATATCTTTTTAATTTTTACAATATATTTATAAGACCCTCCTCGTGTAAGCCCCCCCCCCCCTTGTATAAGCCACAATTCAAAAATATAAAAATTAAATAAACGCCCTCAGAGGGCTAATGGAGGATTTACGGTATTGCAGAATTCTTGCTAACAAATTTTCAAACTATCGCCCAAACGTTTGTCTCAAAGTAAAGAATCGATTCACAACTGTATGGATTGGTAGATAATAGATTTTGAATGGAAAAGGTTGCAAATTCTCTCTTGCATGGATTTTAAACGAATTGTAAATGTAAGAGAACAAAAAACTTTTCAATATTTCAAGGTATTGCAATCTAAATGTTTACGGTAAATAAAACACCCTATCAACATGTTAAAGTTCGAATGGAACCAGATGCTTTGTGTCAAACAGATGGTGAAAATATGACAATATATTTCATAGTGAAATTGAATTATCTAGTTTTCAAGAAGAAATAAGTTTAGTTTCTCGCTATCTATATAGCATAAAAAAAGCATCAAGGTTAGGAATAGAACGACAAAATAGGCATGTTAACATATTATTCTTTGAAGGTTGGGATTAGGCTTCTGATCAAGCAGTTCTTTTGAATTGCTTTTGAATTGTTGAATTGTTGAATTGATGAAAAATTGCTTTGAAACTGTGTCCAGCGCCAGGACCGTCACTTGAGGGGATATTGGGGTGGGGGGGAGGTATTTTAGCCCCCAAGCACGAAAGTAGGATCATTTCGCAGGGCAAAACTGACAACTAAGAAACTGTAAACGGGGATTTTTGGGTCAAAATTTGATGTCATCTTTAGGTCTAAACTGTCTTGACTGTAACCAGAAACGTGATTTGAGCAGGGAGTCGACTATATACGGTCTTTATATCTATTTTCAGTGGATGATATCCATATAGGGTGCATTGTATATATTCATGTAGGTTTTCAAGTTTGTGTTTGCCAGATGAAGATTATGTCATCGATAAATCTTTTCCAAAATATTCGGTTAATATTCGGGGGGTTAATAAATTTTACCATTACATTCTACTTTATAAGAGCCAGTAAATTGAAATTCAGGCTGGTGGTTTTTAAATTTTTCGAAAATCTGAGGCTGAATTGTTCTTAATTTGTTCTTGAATTTATAGGGTATGAGCAGCGCGATTGCTAGGTTTTCGCTCTAGGGAGGTGTCCAGGCCTCATTTGCCAACAAAGTACGTGGGAAAACCTTTATTTGCCGCCATGTTTGAACATTCACCGAAAAAGCGCCCCAAGATGGCAAGATGGCTCCTCGTTTTTGAGATGAAACATTGTTCAAAGTTACATTTTACAGTAGCTCAGCCTCAGCTTGTTCTTAATTTGTTCTCAGCTTTTGACCAATTTTTATCTCGTGTTTTTATAAAATTGCTTTTACAAAATGAGAGTGTAAAGGCAATATAATTATGTTTAAGAATAAAAATCACCATCTGTTGTATTTTATATGCAGCAGGGTAGTTTCCCCATAATGATTTTTGATGGCATGGAGGCAATCTTTGATACCCTCATCTTGTGAAATGCTAGTGTGTATATCGAAAATGTGTTGTAAACAATTAGCTTATGCTGTTTGAATCCAGGATGGGGGGTTGCCTCACTCATTAAAAAACTTTATCTTGCTCGTTTCCCCAAGTTTAGACAAACACATCGGTGAACTGAGCAAGGACCTTTGCGGGAACAGCTTACCTTGAGAAGTATTAAAATGTTTTGGGGAGTGAGGGCCAGTTCCCAACATTTCCAACTTTGGCCAGAGCGAAATTTTTTCTGCAGGGCAAATATGCAGCCTACCTTTAACAAAAAGTATGAAGTGACGCCCCTGTCTAGGGCCCCTTAGCGGTTAGGGGCTCCAAATTGTCAGAGAGAGATTATTTTATTATTTTCTAGAAAATGGCCTTGCTTGCGTAATTATTTGATCCCCAAACAGGGCCGCCGAAAGCGACGCCGGGTCGCGGAGCAGGCGCAATGTTTGGGTCCCTTCCTAACTCTTTTCCTAACCAAAGAAATAAAAAATAAACGGGTTCAAATGGAACAAAATTTTTTATTGGCCAATTTACACAATTTGATGGTGATTAAGAAAATCCTGGTTAAATTTTCGAAAGATACGTGAGAGACAACAAAATTTCAACTTTAAAATTCAGAATTGTAGACTAAACGTGATACCGGGGTTTGCACAATGTAAATAGTTTTCTAGAACAATCTAGTTTTCCTGCTTTGCAATTGGCGTGGCCTTTTCTCCCGAGCTCTATACTGAAGTCATTTGCAATTGGTTTATAGAAAACCCGTTTAAACCTTGAATCAAAGACACCTGTCTTAAAAATTCACAAGGGGTATTTGTCAGTTGGAGACTGCATTCTAACTTTTTTAGAGATCAAATTATGTACTGCAGCAGGATTCATGCTTTTGTTGTGTTTTGCAACTGATTTTGGAAAAAAATTCCCCAAAGCCTGAGATCAAGTACTCCGGTCTGAAAATAGCTCAAGGGGTACTTAAAAATAGGGCAGCATCCAATGCTTTTCACCGTATCAAACCATGTACTTGCAACTTTAATCAAGTAAACCTAATTTTTGAGTTTGGGACTACATCCTATAATTTATAAGCTATTTGAGACTACAGCGTATCAAACCATGTACTTTTCCCATGTTTCATGCTTTTAGCATGTATTGCGGCTGCTTTATTGAAAAGCCTTTTCAAAGCCCTTTATAAAGTACCTCAGTCTAAATATAGCTCGTGGGGGCATTTGCCAGCTGGAGTCTGCATCCTATCCTTTTCGGCGTATCACAGTATATACTTTCACCAAGTTTCATGTTTATATCTTGTTTTGCAACTGATTTATGGAAAAACCCTTACAAAGTCCTTGAATCAGGTCCCCCTCAATATAAATAGCCCAAGAGGCATTTTTCATTTTTTTGCTGCATCCTATCTTTTCAGCGTATCAGCATATTTAGTTTCACAAAGTTTCATCCTTTTATTGCATTTTAAAACTGATTGATATAAAGGCTCCTTCAAAGGCCTGGAATCGAGTACCCCTGTCTAAAAATAGCACAAGGGGCATTTGCCGGATTAGTTCTGCATCCTGTTCTTTTCAGCGTATTAAACTCTGTACTATGACAAAGTTTCGTGCTTTTATCTTGTTTTGCAAGACTTTTCTATTAACATCATTGACAAGGGTTCCAATGGCTATGGAAGGTACGTGTCAAACCTATTACGTCAAAGCGTCGATCTGACCGCGTTAAAATGGCATCACTTTTGAAAGGCCCTTTTTCGTGCTTTCAGGCGTCATATCTAGATTAGTTCAAGTTGTAGAAAGAACCGGAAAAAGGCATCTTGACAAGCGAAAAAAGGTCTACAAAATATGTGAAAAACGTTTTTCGCTTCACATGACCTTTAATATGGATTGAAATGCATAAATTTTCTTGCCTCTTAACCTTTCTTTTGATGACTGTGTTGGATTTGAATGCATAAATTTTCTTGCCTCTTAACCTTCTTTTTGATGACTTTGTTGGATTTGAATGCATCGATTTTCTTGCCTCTTAACCTTCTTTTTGATGACTTTGTTGGATTTGAATGCATCAATTTTCTTGCCTCTTAACCTTCTTTTTGATGACTGTGTTGGATTTGAATGTATAAATTTTCTTGCCTCTTAACCTTCTTTTTGATGACTGTGTTGGATTTGAATGCATAAATTTTCTTGCCTCTTAACCTTCTTTTTGATGACTGTGTTGGATTTGAATGCATAAATTTTCTTGCCTCTTAACCTTCTTTTTGATGACTGTGTTGGATTTGAATGCATAAATTTTCTTGCCTCTTAACCTTCTTTTTGATGACTGTGTTGGATTTGAATGCATAAATTTTCTTGCCTCTTAACCTTCTTTTTGATGACTTTGTTGGATTTGAATGCATAAATTTTCTTGCCTCTTAACCTTCTTTTTGATGACTGTGTTGGATTTGAATGCATAAATTTTCTTGCCTCTTAACCTTTCTTTTGATGACTGTGTTGGATTTGAATGCATAAAGTTTCTTGCCTCTTAACCTTTCTTTTGATGACTGTGTTGGATTTGAATGCATAAATTTTCTTGCCTCTGAACCTTTCTTTTGATGACTGTGTTGGATTTGAATGCATAAATTTTCTTGCCTCTTAGCCCTCTCTTTAATGACTATGTTGGTTTGTACATGTTTGTGCATTTCCTCTGTAAATTTCTAAACAGTCATTTCTTTATGCTGGTAATAGTTAAATACGAAGTTTTATCACAAGTAGAGACACGTCGCCCCTTATGGAACGATTTCAGTAAAAATTGTTTCCTCAGCTTTTCGGTACTTCCTAATAAAATAAAAGTACTTCAAGCACATTCTTTGCTGAATAATCTACATGCTTGTGTAAAGACAGTCTTATCGGCTTTTCTCTCTTTCTGCACGAGCAACATTACTACAGGTCACTTTTCTTCGTGAAAAACTTAGGCCATCGCCCCTTATGGAACGACTCAAATTTAGGCATGCAGAAAAGCGCACAATGTTGAAAAACTGGGAATTATTATCTTCCTTCTTTCCTTCTACCTTTATCATTTGTCAGTATCAAATCAGACTTTCGTTGAGCCATTTGTTTTCAAATTCAGAGTAAAGAAAAAAAGTTATCCCCCAGTTTGGTTCTCTTACTTGAATGAGACTTTATTACGTGTCACACGTTCAGCCACTCATGAATTGTTGAGAATCACAAGAGGAAGCCCGCCGTTCCATCGAAGAAGCCACTAGGCCAATGAAAGTGCTCCTGATAAAAAATCCCGGTGAATGAAAATTGTGCAAGCTATTGTTTGGGTTTCAACGAATATTCGTTTTTTGGAGATGAAGAAACACGTTGTGGGGGTTCGTTTTGTTTTAGCTAAAAAACCGACCGAGGGAATGACCAAGAAAGTTGATGTGCAGGAAAAAAAGAAGGGTCGAAGGTCTAATGACAACTTTTTCGTTTACATTCCGTTTACTTTTAAAATATTCTCCTAGCTTTTAAGAACAAAATTAAACAATGATAATTAGCAAAGAGTTCAAATAATGGCGTCAGCAAATTTCGTGCGTTTTTTGAAGATAAACAAACCTAAACTTCTTCAAATTTATTTTATCATTGCACAGTCAGAATTCATGAAAAAATCGCATCGTCCCATAAGGGGCGACGTGACTCTACTACCTCCTTATCCTATCGATATTTTGATTTTACCAGTGCAGATATTTTTTCTTACAATTGTGAAATTTCTTACATTATTATTGTAATTCTAAGAATTTCGAAGTCCTCAATAAATTTCAAAGAAATTGACTACTGGTTTAGCATGATCATTTTCTCTTATAAGGGGAATTTTTCAGCGTAAAGATATAAGTTTACAAAACTTCAATTTTTGGGATGCCATTTTCATTTGGGTGTTGCAATACTTAATACGCACGACACAAGTTGGTAATTTTGGAAAAGGTTGGATATTAATGGCCGTTAAAAGACTCAAAACAAATGATTTGCAAAAAGGTCTTCTATTTTGCAAATAAGTGGAGGAGTTTGCAAACTGTTGATAGCGAACAGGCACAATGTTTCGGTCGGTAGTCTTCGCGGATAAGATAGGATTTATCGACTAAATTTCTCCCAGCTCTTCATCTCTTTTCTATCAGATTCGTTTAGATGCTGTTTAGGGAATTAATGTACATAAAAAGTGTCACAATGGCATCGAAAGAGTGTCGATAAAAATTTGGAAAATTTTGAAAGATTTTTACGGTTTACTGCCATTTTGAAAACAATCCGTTGCCAGTAGCTACTAAGATGCTGAAGTATCATAGCAACATGCAAACAATCACGCCAGATTTTACGTCAAATTAATCAAGGGTATAAAAAAGCGAAAAAACCGTTACAATTTCTGTTGAGAACCTTTCAACTTGAAGACACGACGCAAGTTTGCATCACTGGTATTTGTACAACTCTAACGATTCAAAACATTGCGATTTTCGATAATTGCTAAAAATTTTCGATTCAAAGATCAACGGCCACATCCATCATTCGAATTCAGTCGAAACTACGCCGTTACGCTGAAATCACAGACAAGAACAATGGTAAGTCGATTTGTCGAAGCTAGCCCTCGAATATTTCTTAAAAGTTGTTGAAGATCACTTTTTTATAAAATTGAAAGTATCAGTGCTTTAAATTAAAACTTTTCTAGAACATTTTGATGATTGCAACACCTTTGAAGAAAATTTCATCAAAAAAACTTGATATAAATGGTAGCATTTTTGTCATCATTTACTGAATGAAAACTTTCGCAAGCAGATAATCATAAGACGCTTTCAAGTAATTGACAATAGGCTTTCTCTCAAAAAACTTGTCTAAAGGCCGATGAAAATCATTATATTCGATTTGTTTGTATTTCAAAGCGTAGTTTATAACTAATTGGGCCTAAATTCTAACAGTAATATTCCTCGAAAATACCATTGTTGCTAAGGAGCAGTCTCCATGACCAACTTGAAGTAGAGGCTGTGCCTCGGTTATCCTGCAATTATGGTTTTATTCTTAAACAATATTTCGGTTTTAGGATTTGTTTGGCAGCCTTCACGTAAATCATTGATCCAGTTGTGAGCTCACTAACTGAAAACCTATGTCTCAAGCCATACAAAGTATCATTTTCGTTAAACAAAGTAACCTTTTCAGAATAAAATTCGATAACCTTTTCACATGTTGCTATCTTCTTTACAGGAGGCTCCGTCGTATCTGTTCCATGATGAAATTTCAAATCATCTCGTTACAAAATACGAATTTTTGCTGAAGAATATCAGTGAGCAATGTGATTTATATTTTCATTGAAATGTCTGCAATGTTTGCTAGTTAATAAAACATCTCTCTATTGAAACTAACTGTTATCACACTATTTTTAACCAATATCTTTCATTGATGTTTCACTACATGCTGCTAATATTAGCATTGTTATGCCGATTAGAATCTAATTTGATAATAACAAAGTAAATGAGTCTCACAAGAAAGTATATTCTTTACATTTCTACATCTGCAATGTTCTCCATCCCAAACATCGATAAGCTCACATGTGCTTATAAAGTTGACACCCTTTTGCTAATGGCTTGTCTGCTTAAAATGCGACTTAAACTTTTATAATGCGTTTTGCAGATGCCCTGTTCTCTATCATCAAGCACATGACGGACATCGAATCTCCAAGAAAAAGAATTCTTGAAAAGCTTCTTGATGCTGAGTACCGAGTATTTTCCTTCACGCAGGTAAAACTTGCTTTCACATTCTTTCAAGCACGAAAGTTCGCTTTGACACAACAAACGATTATTTATTTTTCCACATTCCTAGTAGCAAACACAAAACTAGAAGAAAACGAGAAGACCGAATCTTTATTGTAAAGTAAATCGTTACATCTCTACACATGGATTTTTAGAAACAAGTAGAAAATTCATCATAAGGCGTTTATTAAAATAATGAATACGTAAGGGGGTGGGCTTACTCGAAATTCCACACCACTTCGTATTTCTTATTTTGGCTTTAATTTTTTTGCATATCAATTTGTAGATAAAAACCCAAGCAAAGGCCTGTCTCAGTGTCCTTGAGGATCTTCATTTGATGGTGAGTTTAGGTTCTTTTTCAAGTTTAATGTCAATGTAAAGCAGGGTTTATTTTAAGCATGGTATAGTGATAACCAACTTGTATGGTTCTAATCGTAATTGTTCAGTGATAAACTCAAATTTTGTGCAGTGATAAAACTAAAACAAAAAGATTTGGTATTGAAAAAGTAAGGTGGAGAAACTACTATTATCAATAGATTCACAAAATTAACAAAAGAGCATGAAAATAATGAAAATGAGAACATAAGAGCAACAATGATCATAATTTAAGAAATCTTTCTAAAATTTGATCAAAATCATTCTATAGTTTGTTTTTTTCATCATCTTCTCTTTTGAGAACTATATTCTCAAAATCATGTTTAAACCATGCTTCTCCTCGTCGTAATCACTCGTAAGGCTTTGATGTGAGTTGGCATAATTCAAAAGTTTCACTACATGCAATAATTTTGATAGGTGTGGTCATGAAAATTTTTAAAAGGCAAAACCCAAATCTTTCAAAAATTTTGAATATGTGCAATGGCGAAAAATCTTTGAAATAAACCCTGACTTGTAATGCAATTTGTAATAAAAGTCAGTGATGGGAAAACAAAAGATGTTAATTTGCTGTCATCATGATTATAATATATATCTTTATTAATTTCTTTTCACTTCAAGCTATAGAGAGAATTAACTGCCAATTCATGAAAACATTTGCCAAGTTAATTCGAAACATCGTCACATCCTGGGACACATTCTTTTTCAGCATTGCTGTTATTGACAAGGTTAGCTGACGGATTCTTTAAAAAAGGCTTTGATTCGATTGAAGTGTCATTTTTCTGATTCAATGACAGAAGCATTAGTTTATGCAAATGTTCACCTAGAAATGTCAGATCTTGATTCAGAAGTCATTTTCCAATAAAAAGTGCTTGTGAAAATATGACTGCATATCTTGGGCGTGGTGGGAATTTTTATGGGCCTAGAAAATCAAGTTTTTAGGGGCAAACCATTTTGATGAAGATTGTTTCTTGTTTTCATTACTTATTACATGTTATAAAACGGTGGCGGTGAGACAACGTTTGGCCTTACTTTACTTGTTTTTCTCGCAAATCTGATGTTTCAAATGATCAAAGCTTAAAAGGAAGTAAAATTCAAAGGGTCAATATGAAATATTTTAAACGACCTACTGGGACATTTCCCAAGTCCCTGTTGGCCTCCACGCCCCTGCTGCATTTGTATCTGTGCATCCTGCTATATCAAATGTGAAAAAAAATATTTCTTTTTTATAGAGCCCGGGGAAAGCTTGCCGATCAGAAAGCATCAAGCTTTTTTACATGCTAGCGAAATTCGATATGGCAGAGCTCGCTAAGAACATTGAAAAGCAGAAGAAGCAGATGGAGTTAGCGCTTTCAAAGTCGCAGATGAATGGTTCTTTGAAAGGTGCCCAGCTAGCTGGAAACAGCTTCAAACTGAAAAACTTGAAATTCGAAGAACTCTTATTCACAGAATTTAATGACATCCCTGGCAATGAAAGGGGATATTCAGAAATTGTAGAAGGACTTCTTGATGATAGTTTCGAATACGTCCCTAAACAAACAAGTGACCCTAAGTACTATCATTCTAAGAAACGCAGCTCTTATGTGGCTTATGATGTCACATTAAATGAAGAGCAATGTGTTGATGAAAATTTGGTGGAAGCGCCAAAGGGGTCGCATGCATCTGACCAAGTGAACAGTGTAAAATTTCAGGCTGCCTTGAAAAGCACCAACGCTGCTGCGGCAGAAATGCCACTGCAGCGCATCTGTACTTCTAACATGATATTTGACAGCTCTTTTGGGGAGAAAGCAGTTTTAATTGAAGCTGATAGGCCACTTCTTAACCTCGATAAAGCCTGTCTTTCTGTGAGCACCACGGTCATCTTAAAAGGAGCTTCTGGTAGTTTAGAAAATCCTTTTGATAAGAGTTCTTCAGTCGACGTAACTCTTAGTCGGGGATTGAAAAGAAAACGAAACGAGGCGCTGGGTGACGTTACAAACGGTCTAAGCTCCTTTCCAGGCAACAGAAGCGACTTGCATTTTCCAAAAAGTGGTTATGTTGGCAATATCGATTGTTGTAACCAGCCTTTGAAGAAGATTAAACTGAGTAGGGAGGCAGAAAATGATGTCGTTTACCCAAATGCAGTCAAAAATAACTCTTTTGAGGAAAATAGGTTTAAAGCTCTGAAAAGGCTAGGAAGACGGTTGAAAAAAATGAAATTACAACTCAATAAAGGATTAAGGGATAGTAAAAGAAATAATACAGTGTTTCCAATTAAAAAACAGTTGAAAAACGTTAGATAATAACATTATTATATTAAATTGCTAGTAGTAAATATAGAATGAGTGTATTTGTGATCATTAAACGACTTATATTGTTAAAAAGTTGTGATGTTTCTAATGAGAAGTTGATGTATTGAAAAATCTGCTGTTATTTCTTGTTCAATATCCGAGGCGATCGTTATTCACCTTTAGCTTGCTGGTTACAGATACCAATCGTCCTATTGCTGACACTTGAAGTATCAGTTCAGGTTGATATAACATTAGAGTTTATCAGTATCGAAAGCCAGTAACAAATTCATATACATATTCAGGGAAATCTTATGTTAACTTTCAGTATTTAAAACTCAACAAGCACATTTATATAGGATAGGGTTTTGTCAAATATATGGCGCTAATTCTGTGTTTGCCTGTAAACAATAAGATCTCAATCTTTGTTGTTGACTATTATATGAATAAAACCAAAGAATTAATGACAAGATAATTTTTGGCTGTTTTTGAGCTTCTAAATCTTCTGTGAAAAGTTACCGCCAATATTATATTAAGAGAAAAGACATCTTCTTTGATGATACCGTATATCCTTGAGTTGCCTCCCCCAAATAAGCCCCACCCTCAGATAAGCTCCTACAGATTGTCAATATGCCCCACCCTTGCCATAAGCCCTCACTACTACCGTAAATTCTTGATTTAAACCCCTCAGTTTGATGAATTTTGTCATCTGAGGTGTCCTCTGTCATTTTATTAAATTACCACAAAAATTGATAATTTTGGTAATCATTTTTTATTTAATGCTCATAAAGAAATTCCTACAAAAATAAACGAGGTCTTGAAATCATTTCTTCTTAATGTCTACATTAATTTTATATTCCCCTCTCGTATAAATCCCTCCCCTCGAATATGCCCCCATCCAACAAATATAAAAAATAAATGAGCCCCCAGGATTTACGGCATTGCAGAAATCTTGCTAACCAATTCTAAAGCATTTTTCGCCCTTTGTTTCAAAATAAAGAATTGATTCACGACTGTATGGAGTGGTAGATAATAGACTTTAAATGGCAAAGGTTGCAACTTTTCACTTGTATGTATTTTAAACGAATTGTAAATGTCAAAAAAAGACAACAAAAACTGTTCAATATTTCAAGTTATTTCAATCTAAAAGTTTATGGTAAACAAACACGCTAGAAACATGTGAAAGTTCTTGTGAAAACAACAGATGCTATGTGTCAAACAGATGGTGAAAATATGACAAAATATTTCATAGTGAATTTGAATTATCTTATTTTCAAGAAGAGAAAAGTGTAGTTTTTGGCTTTCTTTATAGCATAAAAAAGGCATCAAGGTTAGGAAGAGAACGACAAAATAGGCATGACAACTTTTAATTCTTTAAGGTTGGAATTAGGCTTCTGAACAGTTAGTTAGATACACTTATGAAGATTCTTTGGTGTGTCAAAATTAAATGGAATGTTTAAAGGTCGTTCCTGCAACTTGCTGCTTACAAAGAGTTAAAACGGGCTACAGCTAACTTTGAAACTAACTTTGCTGCTAATTTACTCATGACGATTGTTACAGGAACAAATACAAGGAACAAGGAAAGTTGCACCTGAATACTGAAGCCGTTCTATACAAGATAAATGGTGGTCTGCACAAAAATATAGAGATCGAGAAAATTGTAAGAAATAATCTACAATTCATAGGATAAGGTATGAGATGAAGAAGGGAATTGAATGCGAACATATATTTTACCAACTTATCAGAACCTTTCACTTGTGTTGTCAACTAATGCATTTAAAGCATTTTGGCTTTCTAATCAGCGTTTTTGAAACTAGGCCTACTTTTTGAAAAGCGAATTGAAAATTCAATCCGCACTCATAACTAGGCTTCGCATTAATGATTTTAACGAGCATAGTTTACGCTTTTGCTTAACTCTTGTGCCTTGATCCCGATTTGTAGTATCTGTAAACACCTTTGCCTGCCATAGCCTAATGTGCAGATGCAAGTCAAATCAATCACTCATTTCTTTCTGCATTGTCGGTCATATTTGCACCTTACAAAAACTTTCCTAAGAAGAACCTACTTGAAGAACTTTACAACTAATGATATAACTAAATCATCTATGCGAATACATTGTGGTAGTAGACGTACAACTCAATAGCCAACAAAATGATTTTGGAATTCACTGTCAGGTATATGAAAATATAAATCGGTTTAGATGTCAGCATTAATTGCCCTTAAGACATTTCTAATACCCAGAAATCATTTAATTTGTTCGTAATGTATTATTTTTAGTTGGGTGTAAGTGTCAGTGTAATTTAGGGTTGCAGTGTGAGAGACAACTAGATAACCAAGGTTATTTGCCTCCCATCCCAACACTTCAAATTAATTTTGTATTGTAGCTGTTCTGTGGGCCCCGTACATTACCACCGTGAAAACAATAAGTTGTGACTCCTCGATAAATGTCATAGTTGAATTGAATTGATGTGAGAAGTGTGTTCGGGTGTTGCGAAAGGAAAGGTAAACTGTGTCTTCTTTGCTGATCTCTCTCTCTCTCTATCTCTCTCTCTCTCTCGACCAGTTACACGAAATTTTATCACAACTACTAGCTCCTTATCCTCTAGATATTTACTTAGCTCCTTATCAACTACATAACACGATTACAAATATGTTTAAATTATAGCCTATTCTTAATGAACTCCAACAG